GTGTGAGGTGTGCTCTGTCGTGTGTGTGAGGTGTGCTCTGTCACGTGTGAGGTGTGCTCTATCGTGTGTGTGAGGTGTGCTCTGTCATGTGTGTGAGGTGTGCTCTGTCAGGTGTCAGGTGTGCTCTGTCACGTGTGTGAGGTATACTCTGTTGTGTGTGTGAGGTATGCTCTCCTGTGTGTGCTCAGTTATATGTGAGTTGTGCTGTGCCATGTGTACTCTGTTGTGTGTGTGAGGTATATTGTACTGTGTGTGCTCTGTCATGTGTGCTCTCTGTGTGTTTGAGACATGCTTTGTTGTGTGTGCAAGGCATGCTCTGCATAAGTATGAGGTGTGTCTGTTTGTGTCAATGTGTCCTGCAGAGGGGGCTGCCCTGGGGGTGCAGGTCGCATGTGTGCATGTGAGTGATTGCTGATGGTGATGTTGTGGCTGGTGGTGAAGTTGGCTCCTTAACACCTCTCCTGCATCTGCTGCCTCCTCAAACCTGGGCTTCCTCTATAGCACTTGGACAGCAGGTGGGGGGCTCCATGAGCCCTGGGACTCTCCAGCTCTCTGTCAGCCAGTGGCCTTCAGATGGGAGCTCACTGAGCAGATACAAATGATTTTTCTAGAGTGCATCACTGGGGTCCCATCCAGGGTCTCCAGAGTGAGCAGAAGGCAGCTGGGGCCCTTTGTCCATCCGGTGAGGGCTTCACATCTGCTTCCCCTGGATTGGTTTTTCTGTGTTTCCCAGTCTGGCTAGGAGCTGCCAGATGTGGCCCACCGTTCTGGCCCTGTGCGGGTGGCAGGGAGGTGACCTTCTGAGGACTGACCTGGCTGAGTCAGACAGGTACAGAGACATAACAGTCTCAAGAAGTGGCCATGAGAAATCTGTCCAGCTGAAATGGGGCATCCTGGTCCCCTAATGGTTATAGACATTAAAGCTGACTGCCTTCAGGCTACCTGTGCCTGACCTGCTGACCTCTGGTTCCACTGAGTTCTTTGTGGCCCAGTGTCCACCCTAGGCTGTAGGTCTGGACTGGATGGATGTTCTTGTCCAGCATCCCCTGGGGACTAGCTTTTCTGAGGCTGCTGAGGAGGGGCTTGGGAGGGCAAGGCCCCCCTCCACCTTCTATCCCCAAAGAGAGAGCATGGTGAGGCTGCCACAAAGCTCTGTTGGGGACCAGGCATTCTGGGTGGAGTCAGGCCATTGTGTCCTGGAGGCTGACCACTGGCTGAGGCTGACCTCTGGCTAGGCTGGCACAGGGGATGGAGAGTGGACTGGAAGGACAGGGTGGGGGCTCATATGCGCAGCTCACCTGGAGACACTTGTCATAGTTCACCATCACTATCCTGACCTCTCCTGAGAGCTTGCACATGAGGAAGGTGGACTGGCCATGTCCAAGCCTGCTCTGACTGGTGGAGGTGTCTCTCAGGCTGCCTTCACCCTTAGCCCTCTCCAGGGAGGTTACCCGGGTGCCCACAGCTCCTCTACCTGACTCAGTTCTCATGCTGGTTGCCATGGTTTTAACCCCCTTGCAACAGTTTTGTCTCAGCCGCTCTCTCTCTCCCCCCATCCCTGCTTTCTCCTCTCCCAAATCCCAAACTCTTTCCCTCACTTTACTGTGACTGTCCTTGCCCTGCCTGGGCCCTTGTCATGCCTGCACTGTCTGTGGGAATGAGCTGGTGGACTGAAAGCAGGACTGCAGGTGAGGACACAGGTGGGCTCCCTGGGGTGCTCTGTGGACTGTTCTACGCCCCCCTCCATGGTTCTCGCTGGAACCTTCCATGTCCGGCCACCCCCTCCAGGGTCCTCTGTGGAATCTTCTGAGCCTTGTCTCCTTACCCTTCTCTGTGGAGTGTTCTCTGCCCTCCCCTCCTCAGATCTCTGCAGATCTGTGGCCTCCACCCCCTCCTCTGTGGAGCATTTTGTGCCCTGCCCCCACCTGCAGGCTTCTCTGTGGAACATTCTGTATACTCTTCCCCTTCCAGGCGTCTCTGTGGAGTGTTCCACGTCCTCCTCACACTCCAGGCTTCTCTGGAGGGTGCTCTAGTCCATGCTGCCCTTCCAGAGTTCTCTGTGGAGCATTCCGTTTCCTGTCCTTTGCCCTGCCCCCCACCCAGTAGATCTATCTTTTTGTGGTGTGTGTTCAGGTGGTATTGGGGGAGGTGGTGTCTGAGCAGAGGATCTCAGGCTCTGAGGAGGCTCCTGGCTTGCGGAGAGGCTTGGTGAGTGTGGAGGAGGAGTGGACTCAGAATGAAGACCCTCACTTGGTCCCCAGGACCTGCTTGTCCTGGGTGTCCACAGCAGAGGATTGGAAATCCGTCCAGTGCTTGATACTGCGTGGACTGACCTGACCCTGGTTCTGAGAGGCCTGAAGGCTGAGTAACCCTTTAGACATGCCATCTCCATTGGTGGGAATTTCTGCCTGCCCCTTGGGTATGGCACCCTCCCTGTGAGGGAACCCATGGGAGCTGCCCTGTATTCTTCAGGCCCTGGCGTGGCCCTCAGTTGGCACAGAATGCCCCAGGGATGGGTCGGCCCTGGGCAGTGCAAAGTGGCACTGTGGATTGGGCTGACTTACTACTCTGGGGTGTGGGCTCTAGTGACGTCACTTGTTCTTCCTGTACCAGCCTCACGGTCCCTCTCACACCCGGAGGACCCCTTCCCAGCATCTGTCTCTCCTCGCTCCCTCCACCTCTGGACGGCAGCGCCTCTATGTCCTCCTGTCTTTGTCCTGTCTGGTCTTGCAGGTGTTTGGACAACTGGGCCCCAGGCTAGGATCTGGGGTATGTACCACCCAGTGTCGACATGGTCAGCACCCTCATCTGGCCTGGGAGACTGGGCAGCATCACATGCTCTGAGCAGAGTTCCTTGGCACCCCAGCAATGAAGCCACATTCAGCGCAATCCCTGCTGGGACCCCTCCCATTCCCAGAGTGCTGAGTCTCCAGAACTGTCTGTCTGGTCAGGAGGAAGCAACCACTGTGGCTGTTTAGCTAAAAGCTTGTTACAGTGACATGAAGTAGGAAATCAGTCCTCTCTGTCTTTCCAACTACACTTAGATGCCCAGTGACCATGTCTGACTGTGGTAGCCACCCCACACCATTTCAGCTCAAGTGTACAACGTTCTGCCTCAGATGCAGGTCCAGGAATATGCACCTTGGCCAACTTGGTGGCATTGGAATCTATTTACAAGGCAGAGAAGGAGCTTTGGGGAAATGGGAAAGAAATTCTCAGGGCCCAGAGTGTGGTGGGTAGCCTCCTGTTGAAGACTTCTAAAGCTGGTTTATTTTTGTTCAATTTTTTGTTGGAACTGTGTCTTTTTTATAATGGAAGAAATTTTCTATGAAGTGAAATCTATTTGTTAGGTGATAGGATTTTGGATCCAGTTGTCAGGTGTGGTCACATTTGTGCTCACTCATGTAGCCCTGTGCATGGCAGAACTCCTGGCACCCTCTAACGGTCTGCTGGACCTGGGGCCCCTGCTGCAGCCTCTGTACACTCCATCTTATGGAGGCCTGAGTCTCCGTCACTCACCCTCTGTTTTCCAAGCATGGCGGCCTGATCTCTCCTGATGAAGTCTCACCATGCATACTTCTAAGGAGCACTCGGGCTACACCTCATCTGGAATAGACTTGTTTGTTCCTTTGACATCCGTGGAATAGCCAGGATTTTTAGTAAAGTCACAGCTCACAAGTCAGTTCTTTGGTCTTACTTTTTCATTGTCCAACTTTCACATGCATATGAGGCAACTGAAAACAGCATGGCTTGGGTCAGACGCACCTTGGTCTTTAAACTGACATGTATGTAGCAATGGGCTCAAGTATGTAAAAAAGATGTGGATAGCCAGGGGTAGGAGAAGGATTGGGTCTGTGTCCATAGGGTCCCTGAGGGTCCTCAACTCAGAGACATTTAACAACAATAGTAGCAGCAGCACTTCTGAGAGACGCAGCAGAGCAGGTGCATCGGGGGCGGCACACAGCTGGGTTCAATGACTGCTGCACTGGTCATGGATCCAGATAAAAGGATGCTTGGCAACGTCAACCTTTTTCTCTGTGTGTGTGATATTTATAGGCCCAGGGATTTTGGTTTTTTTATGTTCAACTGTAACTCACACTGAAAGTATAGCATTTAAGCTTCATCAGTAGGTGCTTCAGATCTTTGCTTTCTGCAACCAAGGCTGTTATCGGAGCATCGCTGTTGTTGATTCATCTTTTCAGCTCCTGTTGCCTTTTTGGTATAATCCAGGTTAGGGCACTTGCTCAGCATGTTTATTGAGTAGATGCAGTGGAAGAACACAACCTTGATTTACAATTTTCCTAATTTTAAGCCGTGTAGTGTCTCTCTTGTTCTGTGTACAGGTTCTATATTAGCACAATTAAGTATTTTGGATTTCCTGTTGTCAGCAGTGTTATTCAATGTTATGATTTACACAGTTGAAGACCTTTGAATAGTTAGTGAAACAAAGGTACTCATTCAGGTATTCTGTTTTCAGTCAAGAGCCATTTACGTCAACAGTGATAGTCCTCTTCATTCCCCGCTTCTTCTCACTCTTCACATCCTCTTATGAATCTGGCTTGAATTTTTGTCACTTCCCTGTTGATATGCTGCTCTAGCCATTTAAAAATTTCCTTCAGCAAGTATTTGCTTGTATGTGATATTAATGGTTGAGTTCTATAAGTTCTCATTTTGTTGGGTCACCTTCTTTGGGATGGACACAAATGCTGATATCTTCTAGTCCATTTCCAGGTAACTCTCCAAATTTCCTAACATGGATGAGTGAGCACATCTGGTGCTGAATTAATTTGTTGAAATATCTCGATTGTTATTCTATCCATGCTTCGTAGCTTGTTTCTCACCAGTGCAGCCTGGGCTTCTCCCTTCAGTCTTCTGGGTTCTAGATCCCAAAGTGTCTGAAGGTGGACCAGTTCTTTCTGGTGCGGCGATTGTATGTGATCCTTCTGCCCAGGTTCTCCCATCGTTCAATACTTTGTCCATGAAATACTTCACAATTGCGACTCACGGCTTGAATTCCTCCCCCCCTCCCAGTTTTCAACTTGAGAAATGCCTAGTGTGTTCTATCTTTTGATTTTCTAACTCCAAGTCTTTGCATATTTCATTCTAATACTTTACTTTCTCTTTTCAAGCTTCCCTTTGAAATCTTCTGTTAGCTTTTCAGCATTTCTTTCTTTAGCGTCTCTACATTCTGGAGAAGGTTTCAGAATCTCTTCTGACATTCATTTTGATCTTTCTCTCTTGACTTTTTACCGATCTTTTGCTTTGTTCATGTTTAGTGTCTTTGATGCCATCACATAACCCATCTGGTCTTTGGTCATTTGTGTTTAACACATCATGTCTCTAAATTCTGGTGAGGTAGATAGACTCAAGGTCACACTTTGACTCTTGTGTATTTGTTCTAATTTTCTTCTGCTTCAACGTGAACCTGTCCATGGTTTGTCACTCCTGATGCAAACAGCGAGAAGTGTCTCCCCAGACCTATTTAAATCTATGCAGTTTTATAGGCTCCCACCAGATGGCAGCATGCACTGTGGGATAATGGGCAGAAAGGTTAACACATCCTACCAACTTGTTGTTGATTGTTTATTGCCCTTGAGTCGAGCACGACTCATAGCGACCCTATGAACAAAAGGCCTGAAGCCTTTCTATAGATATTGACCTTTATCCAAGTTCAGAGAGTTTCCAGAGGCATGTTGTTTAAGAAGTGGATGCCACTCCTGCTTCCCAAGGTGATGTTTAGAAGGTAATAAAACCCCCAAAACCAAAACCATGCATACTTCTGTGTATTCTTACCCAGAATCACTTAACCAGGAGGGAGTCGAAGTCTGTAAACCCACCAGGATTTTCAAGGATATTAAATGCAATTCAAGTTATTTCATTGTGTGCTTCCACCTAGGGTCTAACTTATCAGTTTAACACCTATAACAGGTTGTCTAAAGTAAGCAAGATGAGAGAAAACTAGATTCAAAGGAGCTGAATAAGTGAAGAAAGTCTCAAATCTTTAGTAAAGCAAACACTGCAATTCTCTTTGAGGCTCCTTTATACTGCCCCACATACAGTAGTCCGTTTTAGGCTGTTGTTAGGTGCCATCGAGTTAACTGCAAGTCCTGTCGACACCATGGAGCCTCTGAGAGATGGAACTCTTGCCTTATCCTGAGTCATCCTCATACTCTTTGCCAAGTGCAAGTGCATCTTTGCAGTTCCTGTGTCAGCTCAACGAACTGAGGTTTTAGGTTAAGGTTAATGATATTTAGATACTGATAGTTTCCTATGGTTCAACCCAAATACTCTTCTTTCCAGCAGCCAGGAAATCAAAAGACAAATTGCATTGGGAAAATCTACTGTCAGGAACCTCTCCAGAGTACTTACTGAAAAGGAATAATGCAGTCTGGAGACGGGTGCACCTGGTCCAGGCCCTAGTCTTCACAATCACTTTCTGTGCATCAGAAAGCTGGACAATGACAGGAGATTCCAATCGGTAACTAATTGCTAACACTTCCCATGAACTTAGAGGCAGGAAGCATGGCTGGGCCCTACAGAAAGTTCTGTAGGAGATAGCTGTGTTGAGCCTGTGACCTTGTCTCTCCCTTGAACTTCCTGGGCTCCTTGGCAAAGTTTGAGAATGATTGTCTTAGAGGAAACAGACCTGAAGTGCTGGGGAAGAGGGGACATGAACACCTTTCATAATTGTACGTGTCTTCATTTTGGCTTCTGAGGGCTCTTCCACAGAGAGAACACAGGACCTCCAGTGGGGGCAGAGGGCCATGGGACGGTCTTAATAGTGGTCAGTGCTTTTGCTGTGGGCTCTCCCCAGGCAGGTTGGCCTCTCTCTGGCAGCAAGCTTCTTGCAAGCACTACAGGGGGCTCTTCTGAGTGCCATCATCATCCCCTGAAGGAGAGACTGAGACTGGCTGACTTTGGCATCCCTGATGCCCAGGTGCCCAAGGCGCAGACTCTTCCTTCAGATGCTGCCTTCTTGGGTAGACTGACGACCCTTGTCTGGTGTGAGGCAAGTGAGGGATCGAGCCTTTCCCCCAAAAAAAGTGTGCTCTGCCCAGCAATCTTGGGTCACGCATCGGCGCTGCGTCCTGGTGGTCTCTGTGTATGTATTATTTGTTTGTTGGCATGAACAGAGCAAAAGATAATACATCTTTGCAAAGACACAATCCCTGCTCTAGCTTTGGAAGGAAAAGATATTTTTGGAGGAAAAAGCAGGCTTTTCTTTTTCTCTCCAAAAATAGAGGCCTCTTTTCCAGGGAGGTCTGAGACTTCCCAGGAAGCTGTTCTCATACTGCTTCCCAGCCGTGGGGCTGCAGGTGGGCAGGGCCAGGGCTCCGGGGGTGCCCCGGGTCCCCGCACCGCCTTGCACGCGGCCCAGCAGTGGCCGTGGACTAACTGTGCTCTCCTCGTTCCCACTAGAGGCGGACTGAGCAAAGAGTCCCTGTGTGGATGCTGCCCCGGACACTCTAGGTACCTCGGACCCTGCACGGATGGCTCGCTGCACGGCTCTGTCCCTCCTGCCCACTCCGCTTACTAGAGCTCCTAGACAGGGAGGGGCACTGCCTGCGGCCTCGGCCCTTTCCTACCTCCGTGGTGCCAGCAGTGAGGGTGGAGAGCTGGGTGCAGGGGTAAGAAGGCTTCCTGACTGCAGCATGGAGCCAGGCCAGGGCCCCCTGCACCCACCCCTTCTCCCCTTGATGAAACTGGGGCTGCACACTCATGAGGGTGGTCTTCCCCATGCCCCCGATGGCTGGGCTGGATCCACCACTGATCCAGCACCTCTAGTATGTAGTACTCCATCCCATGCCGGCCCCAAGGGCTCCCCATTCCTTTATTCAGAGAGCCATATGTCACCCCTTTCTGCACACAGCCCGTGAAGACTGGACACGCGTGGGGGATGGTGCCCTACTCCCACTCTCAGCTCCCCCGGCTCTTCACCTGCCTCCCCAGCTCCTCTGCCCACCATCTGTTAGTGTGGGTTCGTGCGTCCTGCTTGCTCAGAACCCGGCCTCTCTCGCCCCTTCCTGCTAGTGGGCCCAGATGTCCAGAAACTGCCCGTCTCCCACCTTGTGTGCATGTGGTCGGTGCCAGCTCTGCACCTGGACCTGGAGCACAGCATGCTTGTGCTTCTGTCTCTGCATGTTCCAGAAGCATCTTCCTCAGGCAGAGCCCGCGGTTTGCAGGGGTCAGAGGTCCATGTTTGTAGGGGCTGTGGTACCCCAGAAGTGAGAGATGGGGCTTGGGGTGCAGCCTGCTTGCATCCTGATAGCTTGTTCTGAGCTTCTGTACCTGGGTGCTGCTGGCCACAGGGCACCACTCAGGCAGAGGTGTGGACAGGCTGTGGAGACCCAAGGGGTCAGGGGTAGTCCCGCCGTGTGCAGCCTTTGTCTGATCACCCCATCCTTCTGCCAGCTCCTTTAGGGATCCGCCTGCCCCGGGCTGGGCCCTGCACCCCGCTGGGCCCTCAGCCTTCCGAGTCGCACCCTGGGTCACTTCGTTCTCCCAGCTCACTCTCCTGTGACTGTGCACACCACCCACTCTCAGAGTCCTAGCCTCCGGTGGGTCGGTGGGAATAAGGACTGAGTGAGGCCAGGACCCCACACAGGCGCGTGAGCACCTGGACACAGGAGTCAGGTGGGCTCAGAGCCAGTGAGTGGCTGCACCAGGGGACCTGGTCGAGCAGGCCATGGAGGCTGGATGATGGAGAGACATGTCCAGGATCCACTTGCCAGGATCCCCATCCTGTCTTGTGGTGCCACCTGCAGGCCAAGAGGCCCAGAGTAGATTGGGCAGTATGGTGCCGGACAGGCCACTGGGACACAGTCCCCTGGGCCCTACCTCCCTGGTCATATCTGGCAGTTCACAGCCAGACACTGACCACTGGCTCTGGACTTCCTCCTTCTGCCCGAAGTCCCCCCCAGTCTCACCCTGATGTGTGCAGGCCTGCCCAGTGGCTGTTGTCAAAGGCCGTTCTCTCTGTGCAGCTATCACCCACCGTCCCAGCACACCCTCCATGGAGAGGTTAAGACCTTGATCTCAGTCTGGGTGGGGGTGGATTGCAAGCAATCAGCAGGGGCTCCCGCAGAAGCTCACGGGGACTCCAGACTGTTCTGGGTCAGACCAGCCATCATCGCTTCCCCCGGGGGACCTGAAGAGGACTCATGTTGGAGGCTGTGATGCCCATGCCCCCTGGCTTTGCTTCTGGGGAGTTCTGGCTCTCCCACAGAGGAACCAGTCAGAGAACATTCAAGAAACTGAAGTGGGCAGGGGTCCAGGTGACTTTGGAGCTCATGTTGCCCTCAGCAGGTTGATTGGAGGGTCTGCTGTTGTGGGGAGGGTGTGCATCTAGACTTTGGCCTGGGCAGTCAGTACTCCCCCAGCCCAGGGTCTGGCCGGTGATCTTGTCGGGACAGGAAGAAAGCAGTAGCAGTAGCACCTGCCTGTCCTGGTGGAAGGTCAGCACAGAAGGAATAGGCTGGGTACCCGGCGCCCCTTGTGGGCTGCAGGAAAGCCTTCATCACTGCTCCCATGGGCTGAGTGGAACACATCAGAGCTGTCTGCTGGTCCTGGGGCACCTGTCACTCTGTCCTAGTCCCTAGGAGAGAGCTAGCCTTTGGGAGAAGCAGTCATTTTGTCCCGTTGGGCTGATGGACATGTGGTACCTACCCTTGTCCTACTCTCTCCTCATGGCCCAGGGTCTGAGGGTGAGGTAGGAGCCAGGCTGTAGACAGGGCCCTGGCGGGCATCTTTCTGTAAGGCCAGCTGAGCAGGCTCTCATGGTGCCAAGGGTGAGGTGTTGCTCAGCTGTGCTAAAAGGTTTTGTGTGGCTCTGAGCACCTCTCAGGCAGGGGCTGGAGAGGGAGCAGGAGGTATTGGCCCCTGAAGCCTGGTACATCCCAGATCGAGGGCATAGGCCTCTGACTCAGATCTTATGCTCCTGCTGGACACCATCACCCTGTCCTGTGGAGGTGGCCATCACTGTGACCACCCCTGGGATGGTGGTTGGGATACCCACTTCTCTTCTGATCGTGCCAGGGGCTGCCTCATTCTTCTTGCAAGGCCAGCTGCCATTGCAAAATCCTTCCTGAGGCACCTACAGTCCAGGGACTCCATGTGGTCAGCTGGAGTGGACACAGGCTGGCTGGCAGGGGGACCCCTGGCATGGAGTAGGTCTGTGCAGACTTGGGATGGGCAGAAAAACCTCTGTGGCCATAGGTCAGGGTAGAGCCAGCTCCTGCTGGGGACATATATGCAGGGGGCATGGACACCCAGGCTCACCTTGTGGAGGGCATGTCACGGGGAGGTGGGCTGCCTCCCAGAAGGATCTGTGGCGCTCCAGTGGTGTGACATGTAACTGGTCGGGCTGCAAACCTAAATAAAGGTCCCAATCCATCAGATGCTTCTCAGGAAAGAGAACATTTATAGACCTGGCAGCTCAGTGGGCTCCCTCCAAGCTGGACTGGATGTCCTGCCAGTGGACTTGGTGGCTTTGTTGTTGGAATTACTGAAGTTTATTGTGCCATCTCTCCCCTGGTCCACATTGCTGCCAAGAGGGTGACTCTACTGCCCCAGGTCCCTCCAGCGGATGGCCACTGCTGGGTCCCTGGCCCTGAGCTGAATATCTCGACCAATTCTCTCTGTGACTTTCGCACTGTTTTTCTGTGTGTGTTCGTCTGTCTGCCACTGTTGGCTCCCTGGAGCAGCCAGAAGGTCAGTTTGAAAGATCGTGTCTTCTCCAGTCCTCGAGGTGTGGCCACCAAGGGGAAAGGGTCTCCTCAGGCCCAGACAGTGCGGCGGTCCCCCAGTGCTGACCAAAGCCTGGAGGACAGTCCCAGCAAGGTGCCCAAGAGCTGGAGCTTCGGGGATCGCAGCCGGGCACGGCAAGCCTTCCGCATCAAGGGCGCAGCCTCAAGGCAGAACTCAGAAGGTGGGTCAACCAGCGCCTCTTCTCTGGGCTGCCAGGTGGGAAGTCCTAAGCCTTTGTACTGGCTATAGGCAGGTCTCTGGAGACAGTCCTGGCTGAGAAAAGCTTCAGACAGAAGGCAGGACAGGGAGGGGAGGGCCATTTGACCCCGTCAGCCCCTTGGCCCTTCCGTACCCTCAAAGACTGCTTGTCCCTCTGCCCAGAAGCTAGTCTCCCTGGGGAGGACATCGTGGAGGACAACAAGAGCTGCAGCTGTGACTTTGTCCCTGAAGACCTGACGCCCGGGCTCCGAGTCAGCATCCGAGCAGTGTGGTGAGCAGGTCACAGGGCGAGGGGTCGAGGAGAGTGGGGTGAGGGAAGCTGTGGGTCTGAAGAGGGAGGGGGGCTTTGGGGACTGGTGCTGCATAATTAAGTCTGAGGTGTTCAAATGAGTTTAAGGGTGATAAGAGGTGGCTGGAGGAACTGAGAGGTGGTGAAGGGGCAAAGAAAATGCTGAGAGGATGAAGGGGGTGAGGAGAACCAGGAGAGAGGTGGGCTCTGAGAGGGGCCAGGGGATCTGAGGGAGGGGTGGGCTCTGAGAAGGGCTGGGGAATCTGAGGGGGGTCAGAGGATCTAAGACAGTTGTGGAATCTGAGAGGGGCCAAGCTTGGAAAGGCCTGGGGGTGTAAGAGAGTCTGGGGGTTTAAGAGGGACCAGGAGGTTGAGGAGTGTGTGTGATCTAAGAGGAGCTTAGAGGGGCAAGAAAGGTTTAGAGGGGTAAGACATTGAGGGGGGGGCAAAATGGGGGCTTGAGAGGGGCTGGGGAAAGCAAGGAGAGTAGATCTGGGAGCTCCTTGACCTGAGAAGGGCATCAGGAAGGTCTGGGGTTGGGATTGTATGGCCGCGTTTCAGCCCATCACCCAGAGCACAGATGGTCACCAGACACAAGAGCAACCAGACCTCAGTGGGCCCTGCTGCCCCTGCTGTCTCGTTGGACCTGTGGGTGTTGGGTGGGGATATGCTCCAGGAATAGGCTGTGGTGGCACACCTACAGCCTTCCAAAGAAGGAGGCCATGGTACAGGATGCCCTATGAGCCAAGGGGTGGTGGAGGGTGGACTGGTGTCTGGCCAGTGAAGGTGTCTATGCAGTCACACACCTTGCTGCAGGTGTCAGGTGAGGTTTCTGACCTCCTTGGCACATGGCCCACATGGACATCTGGAGAGAAGAGTAAAGTGGAGGGCCTGGCTGTGGGCAGGATGGACAGGTGAGTCTGGCAGCCAGGGCCTGAGTGGCCTCTGGAGCTCCCCACATCCTCTCTCAGTGTCATGCGGTTCCTGGTATCGAAGCGGAAGTTCAAGGAGAGCCTGCGGCCATATGATGTGATGGATGTCATCGAGCAGTACTCAGCTGGCCACCTTGACATGCTGTCCCGCATCAAAAACCTACAGTCCAGGCAAGAGCCCCTGCCCAGTCCTGTGGGCACGACGCCAGTTATCTCAGCAGTCACAGTCAGACGAAGCACCATGAGGCTGGATCTCTTAAGGGACAGTGACCAGGGAGAAGCAGTGACGGGGCGAGGCAGTGAACCTTGCTCCGCTGCCCAGTGTTGTGTGCCCCTCCACTGCTCTCCCCTCCGGCAAGTTGGCCTGTTTGGTGCTGTGTCTTTGTGTACCATTCCCTTTTCTGCCCCCACACTACATGTGTGTGCATGCATGTGTGTGCTTGACTTTATATGGGAGTATATGTATGTGTGTTTACATCTGCTTGCACTTGTGCATATGTATTTATGTGTATGTATACTTGAATTTGTGTGTGTCCATGAATATGAATGCCTGTGTGTCTGTATGTGCATGTATATACATGAACGTGCAATGCATATGTTATATGCTCACATGCAGTACATACACAGCTCTGTATACATGCATGTGTATTTGTGTGCATGTATGTGTGTCCAGGCATATGTATGTATACGTGTGTGCTGTGTGTGAGAATGCAAGTGCATGACCATGAGTGTATGCATGCACACATGTGCATGCAAGTGTGTGACTTATAGGTGTATGTGTTCATGAGTGTAAGCCTGTTTTGTACACATAGAAATATGAGGATGAACATGTATACACATTTGTCTGTACATTTGGATGCAGAGTTATGTGTGTACTTGCAAGCACACGTGTGTATGTGTGCTTGTATACACATATGTGCACAGCAAACTCATGAACTATGTGTATTCACATGCACACGTAGGCACACATGGACTATACATTGCTGCTGTGAATGTGTATGCATGCAAGTTTCTTCGTGTGTATGAGATCTTATGTGGTTATGCATACACATCTGACTGTGTGTACATTTAAGCACGTGTGAATATGTGACCATACACATGTGTACCTGTGTGTATGGCTGGTGTGCCTATCTGTGCACGCATATATTCTGTGTGCTGTGAATGGAGCAGCTCGCCTAAGAGATGAAGCCTCAGGATTCCAGTGGTTCTACTGCAGCAGTCACACCACCTGCTCTGTCCCCTCTTCTTTCTGAACAGGCGGACGTGGAGTCCTACTTCCCAGGCGGGAAGCTGGAGGACAGGGGAGTCCCCTGTGCATTTCTGTGTGTAGCCTCACATATGTGACAATAGCTTACTGTCTCCAGCAGTCAGCTTGCAGACAGCTACACACACAAGTGAGGACCCATGCATTTCTCTGAGCACACGTAAGTGCTCGGAGCACACACATGTACATGTGTGAATGTACACTTGCACACAGGTGTTCAGATCAGCCCCAGGAGTGCACATACATTTACACTCATATAACTGTGCTCATGCTGTCATCCTTACACCCACATACAGCCTGCACAGAGCACACTTGCACACCCAGCACACTGTTCTGCTCAGCCACATGCACTCGGCCACATACGGACGCATTGAGGATGTGTTTCTCTAGCCTGTGAGAAGGCCACACAGCTATTTCCATGTATCACACACCTTGCTAATGCACCCCTCCCGGCCCTCTCTAAGCAGCTTGTGGGACCCCCACGCTGTGGTTATGAGGAGACGGCCTGGACAGAAGTATCTGCCAGGAGCAAAGGATTCATTAGAGGAGTCCATGTGCACTCTTTGTGCACCTGCCTTCTCCTCTGGTGCCGGGACAGAGGCTGCTCTGGGCTTCAAGCTGTCCCATCAGGGAGATGGGTGAGAGGTGCCCCTTTCTGTGCTCTGGGTGCAGGCTGAGATGGTTCCGTGTTCAGCATCCTCCACAAGCATTGGCTGGACTTGACTGCTGTGCATACGAGCAGACATGAAGTCCCAACTGTGTGTGACTGCGTGCAGAGTGTGTGTGTGTGTGTGTGTGAGAGGTAGTGTGTGTGAGGGAGAGTGTGCGTGTGTAAGGGAGTGTGTGTTTGTGAGGGAGTATGTGTGTGTGAGGTAGTGTGTGAGAGAGAGTGTGTGTGAGGTTGTGTGTGTGAGGGAGTGTGTGTGTGAGGGAGTGTGTGTGTGTGAGGGAGTGTGTGTGTGAGGGAGTGTGTGTGTGTGAGGGAGTGTGTGTTTGTGAGGGAGTATGTGTGTGTGAGGTAGTGTGTGAGAGAGAGTGTGTGTGAGGTTGTGTGTGTGAGGGAGTGTGTGTGTGTGAGGGAGTGTGTGTGCATGGTATGTGCGATGGAGTGGTGTGTGTGTGTATTTCTGTGTGCCTGGGTTGTGTGAAGGGGCATGAGTGTATGTGTACAGTGTGTGTATATGAGAATGAGCACATGTGGGCAGTGGGATGGAATGGATATGTGCATGACATATGGAGAAGTGTGCATTGTATGTTGTATGAAAGTGCGGGGGGAAGTATATGTGCAGTGAGTGAAGGAGTGTTAGTGTGTACGTATTTGAGGGAATGTGTGTGAGGGTGTGCACTGATAGGAGAGTGCAAATGTGCATGCATAAGTGTGCATAAAAAGTGAATGTAATTGTGTATGAGGGAGTGTGCTTTCATGGGTGTGTGAGAGTGTAAGTGTATTGCTTGAAGTGTATACACATAGGAGTGTGTGAGGGAGTGTGAATGTGTGGATATGCATGATGGTATAGGTATGATGTGTGTAAAAGGTAGTGTGTGCTTATGGGTATATGTATGTACTGGTGCATGTATATGTGTGTATGAGAGAATGTAGGTGTGTGCCTGTGTATATGTGTGTGAGAAAGAGAAAGTGTGTGCATGATTTTGCATATGTACAGATATACAAGAGGGGGTGTGTGTGAGCATGTGTATATATTTGTGTTAGAGATGGAAGAGTGTGTACATGGTGCATGTGTGTGTTCAAAGGAGTGTGTGTAAATGTGTGAGTTAGAGTGTGTTCATGGGGGGTGTGCTTGTGCATATGTGTATGTGTAACAAAATATCATGGTGTGTGCACCCTGGTCTGTGTCTCCCGTCTCTCTCACTGCAGATGTTTTTATCCACCAGGCTCTCCTGTCCTAAGTCTCCCCTTCTCCTCCACTCTGTCTGGAAAGACAGACTGAACAGCCCACCCTGGAACCCAGGATGCCCCTGTCCTCTGCTGACAATGAGTTACATGTTGTCTGTGGCCAGCACCTCTGGTATTTGCTGCCCAGCTGCAAACAGACCCCCAGCTCTGCATGCTGGCAGCTCAGCTGAGAACCGGGAGGCCCCGCAACGAGGACAGGGGGTGCAGCCCCTGGCCCCCGGCTCCCTGAGCTGAGCACTTGGCTTGATCATCGGACAGAACTGGGGAGTCCAGGGTCAAGCAAGTGCGGCCCTGACTGCTTCTGTCTCATGCGGGATGTGTCTGTAAGGAACCTCCCGTGTGGTTTCTGTGGGGTTGCCCCTGTTTTCACCAGTTTCCAGCCACTCTCCGTCCTGTTGCTTCATGATGCGTTTTGCTAGTGTCTCTTTTCTTGTTCACGCTGCCAGGATAGATATGATTGTGGGTCCCCCACCCCCTTCAACTCCCCGGCACAAGAAGTACCCCACCAAAGGACCCTCGGGCCCTCCACGAGAGTCACCCCAGTACTCTCCTAGGTTAGGACCTGGCGCCTCGACTGTCCCTGTGGACCAGCCCCTTCACTCCAGGCCACATGACGCGGCATCTTGCTCACCCACCTGGCACTCAGGAGGGTCTCCTCCCCATGAGGCAGGGTCAGGAAGGGCAGTTCTTGGCCAGTGGGACCACACTGATACTGGAGGGCTGAGCTGTCCCGTGATGCCACTTGTAGAATTCCCCAGGAGCAGCCCTCTACGTGGGCTTTGTGTAACGTCTGCCTGAGACCAATGGTTACCTCACAAAAGCAGGGATGCTGCAGCAAATATGCCCAGACATGTAGGAAGGTGGTCCTTCCAGACGGCACCCACAGACACACCCATGGCATGGCTGTCATTTGGACTCAGCTGCTGGCCAGGGTGACCTTGGAGTGGGGATATTCTCGTCCTGTGCAAATGGATGCAGTGGCCATGAGAATGACCACGTATGTCCGTGGAGGGGCCAGGGCTGCACTGTGAGCCACCATCTAGATCCCCTCAAAACCAGGCCCAGCTGAGTAATGGGATAGAAGAGATTTTACAGCTGTATTGGCCCCTCGGGACCATTCATGATGGAGGTCATCTCCCCACAGTGGCCAGTCACTGAGGGAGAGAGAGCCTAGGGCAGGGCTGAAGAGAAAGGGTAAGCAGGGCTTAGGAAAGAACAGGGCTGAGGAGAGAGAGCAGGGCTGGGAGAGAGCAGGGCTGAGGGGGGAGAGCAGGGCTGGGAGAGAGCAGGGCTGAGGGGGGAGAGCAGGGCTGGGGGAGAGCAGGGCTGGGAGAGAGCAGGGCTGAGTGGGGAGAGAGCAGGGCTGAGTGGGGAGAGAGCAGGGATAAGGGGTTAGAGAGCAGGGCTGAGGAGAGGGAGAGCAGGGCTGAGGGGGGAGGGCAGGGCTGAGGGGAAGAAGAGCCAGGGTAGTGCATGTGTCTGAGGTGGAGCTATTGCCCTCCTCTGGCCTGGCCTGAGTCTCTCGCCTTTGTGCCCCCACACACCTCACACTCGCAACCTCGGGCAGTGTGTGCTGCTCCGTGTTCACATTCCATTCACTCTGTGCTCCAGACTCAGAGCTGCCCCAGGGGGTCCAGTAGCAGCAGCTGGACAGGCGCTGCATTCACCCTCATTCATCCCCACCAGCCTGTGGGGAGTGCTCATCTAGAGCAGAGGGTAAAGCCCTGTGGGGCTTCCTCAGCTTGACTTTGGAGGGGTTCAGCCTATCCCCTGCCTGGGGCCTGGGGAGTGGATGGCATGGGGTCCTTGGAGGCCCCTCCTAGTCCCCAGCCCTGGCTGGCCCTTGGCCCCATGGATGGGCAGGCTGACTGCGTCATGTGGCGTGGATGGAGGCGGTGAGCACCGTGCGTGGAATGTGCCGACCCTTGACCCTCTGAAAGGCCAGAGTCCCCTATCTCCATGGCGTCTGCTTGGACCAGGCCCCGCACTGCATGCATATGACTGTGCATGGGCCCAGGGCACATGGCTGGCTGCATGTGGCTGCAAACCACTGCTTCTACTCCTGCAGCAGAGAGAAGCATCCGTCCACTTTTCCTCCAATGAGGCAGACAGGCTTTCTGGAGGTGCTGCCTGACCGGGGCGGGGGCCTCTCCCAGGCCCCATCTGAGAGAGGAGGGGCTCTACAAGGTCTGTGAGCTAGGGAAGTGAAACTGGCCTGGCGAGAACAGTGCCCGTAGGGTTGACCTGACCCACGCCTCTTTGTTCCTTCTTGAAGGAAGATGTGTGGGCACAGGCCACTGTGGTGCAGCCATTTCTCCTCACATCTGTCTGCTGGTGGCAGTGCAGGATCATCTCCCTCTCGATGCTTGACGTCCTGCTTGGCCTCAGTCACACAACAGATTGAAAGCCACTCTCCTCTCGGGTGACCCACAGGAGTGTCTGCAGGGAAACCCTGTGATGGGACATCTGCTAGGCAGTGTGACCTGCCCTGGTCAAAAGGCCCACCGTGGGCTGGGGAAGGCGGAGGGCAGGCATGGCCGTCATGACCCAGGGGTCTTGTCTGTGATAAGCTCATGGATTCTGATAGGACACACCTGCACACTAGTGTATACACGCACACGTGAGTGCATTCATGCACACACAAGTGTGTGCACACATGTAACTTATGCATAGATGTAGCTGATGTGCATGCACCAGTACATGTACACAGATGCATGCGTGCACACACATAGCTCATGTAGTTACACGTGTGTACCGGTGCATACTTACATGACTCGTGAACAGTGCAAATGTGTGAACTGCACAATACACAGACGTGTACCTGATGTCCACCCAGAACATGTGTGCACACAGGGATGCACACCCATGCATGAAGATGCATACACACATGCAACTGGTATGTACATAGATGCATAACATACACAGAGGCTATGAGCAGTGGTGACACTCATGCACACCTGCACACACTTAAGACTCTGGTTGGGAGTGGCTCTGTGTCTCTCCTCTCCTCTGCGTGTTCTGTGTTGTGCTGTGCTGTCCATCCCCGACCTGTGCATGGAGCCAGCCTCTCCCCTCCTGCTTCATTCGTTTTTGCTTCAGACATTTAACTCTGTCCCAGCCAGACTCCAGTTGACTGACTCCTTTCAGAGGCACATTATGTAGGAGTAAAGCTGGGGGTGTGGGGAGTGTATGGGGTGAGGCCTGGAGGACCTTCTAGAGCTGGGGAGGGTCTTGGAGCCAGCCCCTGTGCCATGTGCCAGTAGCTGCCCCCTACTCTCCAGGCCTCAGTCTGCCCTGCTGGGTGAGTATGAAGACCACTGATGGTGGGAGGAGCTTGGGGACAGAGGAAGAGGCAGGGCTTTCCCGGTCCTCAGAAGGGCTGGTCCAGAAGCCCTGGCTTGAGGGGCATCCCAAGGTGCGATTGGCCAGCACCAATTCCCTTCACTTTACTCTGCGCTAATGTGCCCAAGTGCTCTGGGATGAAGTGATGGGTGAGCACCAGAATCAGACATGGTGTCCGGTGCCCTGGGCTTGAGGAAACTCAGGCCTGGGGGCTGTGGCTTGGCCTAGCTGTGTCCACTCAAACTCATGCTGGGGTCTTTTCCTGGCAGAGTGGACCAGATTGTGGGCCGGGGCCCAGCCATCGCAGACAAGGACCGTGCCAAGGGTCCTGCTGAAGCCGAGTTACCTGAAGATCCCAGTATGATGGGGCGGCTGGGCAAGGTGGAAAAACAGGTGGGTAGTGGGGATCCTTCAGGGTGTTTGAGGAAGAGTGGTCAAGTGGCCTCTCTAGGGTGCTCAGGGCTGGTGCTCATGTGGGGCTCTTCAGGGGTGACACAGGTGACTGGGGGCCATGTTGTGTGGGTGTGGGTGGAGCTCAGTGGGGACTCTGGTGCAGGTGCATGTTGGGATGCATGGGACAGGGGAGAGCCTCTGGCTTAGAGCCTCCGTGCTACCCATCCTGATTTGTACCCTGGGGCTCCAGGGGTTCCTGCTTTCCTCCCATCCTGCACCATCTGGGAAAGGGTGGAAGCTGCCTCTGAAGGACTTACAGGAAGCCCACATGTTGGGTTCCCCTGCACCTCACCCTCGGAGCCTACTTGCATACGATCATCTTCCGGGGGTCTGCGTGGGAGCCCACTGAGGATGGGACCAGGGGGAGCAGGGCTAGTCCTTCCTCACAGTGTCCCATGTGGACAGTGGGCAGGCTGTTGAGACCCCTTAGAGAGGGCGTTCACATGTACTGGCATGCCTCGCTGGGCTTGGGAAGAGGAGGCTTCTTTGGGCCCTGATGCCCTTGTGCCCCTAGGTCCTGTCCATGGAGAAGAAGCTGGACTTCCTGGTGAACATCTACATGCAGCGAATGGGCATCCCCCCGACTGAGACTGAAGCCTACTTTGGCGCAAAGGAGCCGGAGCCAGCGCCCCCGTACCACAGCCCCGAGGACAGCCGCGAGCACCTGGGCAGAAGCGGCTGCGTCATCAAGGTGGTGCGCTCCACCAGCTCCATGGGCCAGAAGAACTTCGCGGCTCCGCCTGCCGCCCCCTCTGGCCCCTGCCCACCGTCCACCTCGTGGCAGCCACAGGGGTGCCCTCGCCAGGGCCCTGGCTCCTCACCCGTGGGAGACCCCGGGGCGCTGGTGCGGATCCCGCCTCCGCCCACCCATGAGCGCTCGCTCTCAGCCTACAGCGGAGGCCACAGGGCTAGTGCGGAGTTCTTGCGGCACGAGGACACGGCTCGGCCCCCGGACGGCGGCCTGCGGGACAGTGACACGTCCATCTCCATCCCATCGGTGGACCACGAGGAGCTGGAGCGCTCCTTCAGCGGCTTCAGCATCTCCCAGTCAAAGGAGCACCTGGACACGCTGGCGGGCGGCTACGCAGCCGTGGCGCCCTGTGCCAAGGTCAGGCCCTACATCGCGGAGGGCGAGTCGGACACGGACTCTGACCTCTGCACTCCGTGTGGGCCTCCGCCGCGCTCTGCCACCGGCGAAGGCCCCTTCGGAGACGTGGGCTGGGCTGGCTCCCGGAAGTGAGGCCTCATCGTGCAGCCCCAGCTCTGTGGTTGCCAGAGGACCAGTTTCTGAGAGTACAAAGCCAGGGAAGGCACCTGGCTGGGGTCTGACTATGAGGCTGAGGCCTGGGAGGGTTTGGACACCACCCAGTGAGGCTTTGCCTGTTCCCCTTTCCAACAAGTCCCCAGGTGGCCGATGTGGAGGCCCCAGGAGCCCGTGTCCCTCTGTGGGTAGACTGAAGGCACAGTGGGGGAGGGGGCAGGTGAGTGCGGTGGGCAGTGAAGGGCAGGCCTTTCCCCCGAGTATGACCATGGAGACCCTCAGGGGAGACGCCAGGTGCAGTCATCTGAGGCCTGGGTGGGGATGGACCAGCCCGGTGTGTCTGCTCTCCCAGGCCTTCAGGGGCCTATCGGTGAGGCACTCCTCAGTCTTGTCCTGTACCTGATGATCCGTGGTGGAAGCTGCTCAAGCCCATGGCCTTGCGTCTGGGAATGGAGGAGTGTCCCAGCTTGGAGACCAGATCAGAGCTGTGTCATGACCCTCTGACCTCTGTCATGGCTTTTCTGGGGAAGGTGCTCCAAGCCATGGCCCTGAGCTAACTGTTCTCCCTGTCACTGGAAAGGGAGACTCAGTGCCCTGAAACAGGCTGGAGGCAGAGCAGTGACTCTGGGGACCATCCGGCCAGGTGCCCTAAGTCCTCTTCCTCCGGCTCTGCACAGCGCATGTTGAGGGGTGGCCAGGACCTCCAAAGACAGACCACCAGAATAGGGGTATGGTGGGGCCGGGCGCCTGCCAGGCAGCCGGGGTGCAAGTGGGAGGATTCCTGAGTGCTGGTCTCATTAGAGCTGTGGACACCTGTCCCGACCTGGGGCACCCCCCATTTGCTGCAGACAAGATAGGGTAGTGGTCAGGGTGCTTGCTCAGCCTGAACCAGGGAGTGCTGTTTCTTGGGATGCATCTCCTTGGGTGGACCCTGGGGAGGCTGACCCTCTGGCACTTCCTGGACCTCGAGCCAGGAGCCCTGTTCTCTTCTGCCCCCAATCCCTGCATCTGGGTCCCCAAATGAGCTTTTCCATTTGTTGTGGTGTTGATTGCCGTCAAGTCGAGCACAACTCATAGCGACCCTATGAACAAAAGGCCTGAAGCCTTTCTAGAACTATTTTGTTTATCAAAGTTCATAGAGTTTCCAGAGGCATGCTGTTTAGGATGTGGATGCCAGCAGGTGTCAACAAGCCCTGGTTGAGGTGGTGAGAACTGGAACCAAGGGCCAGATACCTGGGATCCCTAAGACCAGGGACCGCGCCTAGTGAGTTCGTGATGGGTGCCCGGCTGAAACCCACTCACTGCCCCACACAGCCTCACACACTCCCCCCCACCCCGTCCCAGAGACACTAAAAGAAGAATCACATGCATTTCTCATGGCTCCCAATTCTGATGGAAGCCTGGTTGGTCCATAGACGAACTGGGTTGGAGGTCACCTCTCCTGCTGAAAGGGGTCAGGTAATTGGCTCTGGGAAGGCCTGAGCTTAAGAGCTTTGAGAAGCAGGGACCCCAATGGGATGTAGCAGCCTCCTGCATCCCCCAAGCCATTAGGGTACCTGGACCCAATCCAACCTGTCTGGTCCCACCCCATTTCAGCTGGATCTCAACCCCCCTGAGTCTCCCGCCCCTGTTATAAGGCAATCGGACTCCGGCCCATCCTGCCACAGGACCCTCTGCCAGCTGTTCTGTCCTGTGTGGCCCGGGGCCACTAGGGCTGGACTTCAGTGCTGAGCTGTGGGGACAGTGCAGCAGGGAGGGAGACACCAGGCCTCTGCTCAGTCCCCTAGTTCCCTAGTTACAGGAATGGTGGCTGCCACCTTTGGACTCCGTGGTGGTGTGGACACTACCTGGTACTACCTGGTGGGCAGAGTTGGGCCAGCCCTCAGTGGAGACCAGACCTGAACCCCCAGCTCCCTCAGAGGCTCACAGTCAGGGAGATGGTTAACTCTTGCTCTAAGCCCCAGGAGGTAGAGGCATGCATCTAGTTGTGTGTCCCCAGGGATAAGGAAGTCCCAGACCTTGGACTGAAGACCTTGCAAACACGTGTCAAAGACTGGCTGAGGTCCCCTGCATGAAGGCTATCCGGGGATATCCTGGGCACAGGACCCTAGCTGGTGTCCAGGCCATGCCAGTATTCTCCCTTGGGTGAAGTCTGGCCATTGTTAATCTGCACCCATGGAAGCAGGTGGAGGCCACCCTGGGCCCCTAGTTCCTGGAACAATTTGTGTCTAACTCCACTGGTGGGTGTTCTGGGGATGTTTGGGCAAGTGATGAGAGGAGGGTTCCTCCTGTAGGTCTGCACCCCCAATCTGAGCGATAGACAAACCCCTGCACAGTGCCCACTCACTACCTGGGCCCCACCATCTAGAGTGACTGGAGGCGTCCGGGCTGCTCTCTGGGTTCCGCTGGGCGAGCGTGTGTCTTGTGACTGAGGGCCCAGCAGCCGCTCTGTGATGAACGTGGCAGCATTTCTCTAGAAGAGCGTGTCTGTTAGAATAGGGCTCCCCTGTGCTCATACACACATGCCCCGTTACAGCACATGCAGGCACACGTGCAGACACATACATGCACACAGCACCCCCCCCATGGATATGCGCATCCACGCCACCGTCCTGACTCCCACAGGCCTTTGTCTCTGAACCTTACTCCCTGTCCCTGCTCCTTCAAGCTGCCTGTGGAGTCATTTTAGCAGCTGCTGGTGGATGGAGTCTTGACCATCCAAGCTACTTACTGGACAGAGGTCCCCTTACACCCCAGCAGTGCTGGTCTCTCAATAGTCCAGAGACAGCCTCCCAGGTGCAGGGAGGCTTTGAGTTGTGGGGGTGTCTGACTGTGAGGCAGCCAGCAGAGCTGTTACTACTGCTCACTCCTTGGGCCTCCTGGGCAAAGTGGCCTCATCACTCAGCCCCTGCCCCAAACTTCTTCCGCTGCCCAGGCAGAATCACAGGCCCATGTTCCTGGAGGGAAGCATCCATCCCTCTCCTTGCCCACACAGAGCCCCACCTGGTGGCCACCACGCTGCCCCCTCAGAGGCACCCCGCCCCAGAAGGGCTTACCTCAGACTTGCTAGGAGGCTGGAGAGTCATCAGGTGAGGCCCAGAACTTCACGGCTCTCAATTCCAGGGCTCCTCTAAATGGGGCACATACGATAAAAACCCTGAATTCTCCCTCTGAACTGAGCCTGTCACTCAACCATCCAGACAAGCCCTTACAATAGGGGGGAGCCTGTTTGTGATTCATGTGCTTGCCTGAGGCCCTTGTCCTGGGCTCTGGAGGCTCCATGGGGGTGAAGGGACAGTGCAGAGCCACTCTCAGATGTGGAGGAGACCAGCTCCTGCTGGCCCTTTCATCCAGGAGAGGAGCCCCACCATCCTGTCCAGGGCTGAAGGGTATCCTGTGCTGCCTCAAACCCAACATAAACCTCCCAGAGTGGAGCGGAAGCGCTTAGCAGAGGCACTGACCATCAGCTAGTTGTTCCGGTTAACCCATAAACGGTGCACAGCCACAGCCCTCACAGAACTCACAGACCTCCTGGAGCCCTGGGTGAGGAGAGTAGTCTGGTAGATAAGGATGTTCTTCAGGAAAGACCTGAGGGTGGGGGGAGGAAGGAGCCTGGGGATCTGTGTGACCCCATCCTGCATGGACTGCTCCCTTTTCCTGGGGTATTGTCTCCTGTGGTCACCATCTCCCTGCAACCTGTGGACAGATTCCCTCCCTCCCCCGTGTCCTCACTTCCCACTATCTCCTCCGAGATCACCTGCCCATACAGACTCTGAGTCCCTCCCAGTCACCCTCTTGTCCCCCAGTCACTCACTCCTCTCCTCCTGGTGCAGGTCCATAGGAAGGTGAGCTGGAGCCCTAGGGACTCCCCTGTTCTCCCTTCCAGAGCGGGACCCTACTATCCAAGCACCACGGGAGGGAGGCAGCAAGGAGAGCTTCCTGGAGGAGGTAGTTTGATGGGGTCAGGCCTCAGACATCTGGAGAAGCCCACATTGGGGCGACCCTCTGTTTCCAGAAGTGCAGTCAGGGGCCAGGGCTTTGTTGGAGTGTGCATCCTGTTGGTGAAGCTAACAGCAGGCTCTAAGGGCAAGTGTGTTGTAGGAAGCTTCTGGAACCAGCAGAGCTGGGATGTAGTTCTTCCAGAGGTAGGATCCCTCTAGACTGTGTAATGGCACCCAAAGGGCTCCAGGGGGCCCTCAGGAGCCTGACTGAAGACAGTCCCAGCTGCCTCTAGCTCATAAGGTCGCTTTGTGTGCCTGAGGCCACCCCAGAGACCCCTGGGCAGGTCAGCTGCTGAGAGGAGGGGCTTATGGGCTGAGCCAGTGCTCTGCTCTGATGAGGTGGTCTTAGTACACGCTAATGGAGAGAGACTTGGAGATCACCCCTGTGCTCCCTGGCCTGCAGGGCAGAGGCCCAGCCAGCATGCCTCTGGACAGCTTAGCTGCATGGACACCCAGCTCTGTGCCCTCTGCTGTGAGGAGGGAGCCTGTGGGAGTCCGCTCAGAAGGCCTGCAGCTGTGGGGGCACCCATACAAGGGGGTACCTCACAGGCAGCCTCTGCACAGCACATGCAGACTTCCTGCCCCGTGTCCAGCTGGGAACACCTTCTACCTAGGATTGTTCAGCGGCGTGTGTGTGCATGCATGTCCATGCCCCACATGCGCACCCACACCCCTTGAACATGGGTGTCCACACGCGTGTCGTGCCCCGTGTCCACTGCAGCCGGCCGCTCTGCCCGTGGCCCCGCTTCCTCCATCTGCGCCGTTGCCTTGGCTGCTTTGCACTTTTGTTCATGCTCCAAAGAATACTGGGTTTGCCTTCCGTCCTGCCACGCACTCCGCTCTGTGCGCACGGAGCGTCGTCATCTGCAGTGTCGCCTGTGCGCCCTCACTCGCACCTGTGCATTTTCTAGGGATAGATGCCCAGGGAATGGATTGTCGTTTTCTCTTGGATCAGGAAGAACTCTCCCGAGTCACTGA